TGATGGGCATATTATAAGTAGACAAGCGAAGTATGCACTTTTAGGATAGATTGTGATTGTCATGTTGGAAATTCACTTCTTTTTAAGCAAAAATTACTCTTTCTATTGTTAATGATTTTTAAATAAAGTAGACTACTTTTTTTTTTTAATGGTCATATTTTTTATAAACTCCAAATTTTTTGTTGCTTGAGGCTCACAGTTAATAGAAGAAAATGACAAAACAACCAATTGTTTCGTAGAAAGGAAATTATATTCAAACAATATTTTTTTACATTTACTCCACGTTTTAATTACAAGAAAAGTTTTCAATATTTCCCCACTTTCACTTGTCCTCGACGTTTTTTCTCGTCATATTGTCATTCTTAACCTTCAATTAATTAGCATATTTTGTCTCTAATCACGTTTTTCATCAAAATATTCTACTGATGTGCATGGAAAAGATGGGCAAATATTTTATTCAACTTTTGTATTAATTATTTATTTTGATTATTTAAAAATACGAGAGATAAATATATTCCCTGGACAAAAATGTCTCTATAGATAAGATGTGAAAATTAACATAGGGTTGATGACGAAAAAGTAGTTGAGAACATAAATGTAAAATAAAACAAAAAAGGAATATTCATTGCAATTAAAATAGAGTGTAGTTAAAAAAAAATATGTGGTGGGACATAGAATAGCGTGAGACAAAAGTACGGTGGGCTAAGCCGTAAACTCCATAGTGAATCGGCTGAAGAAGAAATAGCCGATTGAAGCTGGAAGGAAAACGGTCACTGTCACAGAGTGACCTCATCTCCACTCTAAGTTACAAAGCCCACATCACTTTCATAGCGCGTGTGATGCGTGAAGGTAGATTTTGGGTCACACAACGTTAACAATGACATCTCTCCCAATGGAAGATCTTTTGCCATCCTCAAAACTTGTTTTAGGTTCATTTTTGTATTATTTGGGCCTTTGAGGGGTCAGAAAAGAAATTAAGATAAATGGTAATTTTTTTTCTTAATATTCTTATCATATCAATTTTATTATAGTTTAGTTTGTTATACGTATTTGTTTGGCAAGTGTATATATTATAAACATTTTTAATTAAATTTACTTTTCTTCCATGCATAGGATTGATACATATTTGGTAGTTATATTCATGTTACATTATATTTTAATTGCACTTATTTATTTGATCATATATTTTCAAAAAATAATTACAAAAGTGTGTCAAAGTACGTTCCTCATTTTAAAGTACGTGAACATAATATTTTTACACAAACCATCACCAGGAACGTGATGAGCTAATTATTGAAAGATTGAAGATAAAAATTTACTGAAAAAAGTTGAGAACGGAAGTATTATAATGAAAAATGTTGAGGACCTTAAGCATGGTTACAATATGGTGCATCTGATAAAAATTGGGAGGTGAATATAGTTAACTGCACGCATTATCCACTCATTTTTATTTATTTATAATTTAAATCAATTATAATATATTTTCCAATTATGCTTAATCGCAATACATCCAAATCTAAATTTATTAATAACAAGTATATCATACCTATATTGGTCTATCTGACTGCTCTAACAAATAACAATTGCGTTCCCTAGATCAATATCACGTAGAAGTGTATGATACTATGCTCGTGTTTGGTAGAGATTAAAATCAAAATTTTTTTATTAGATTTTGATAAAAATTGAAATGTGCGGTTGAAAAGTTGTGGGTCTCATGAAATATTTGGTTAAAATTAATTACTAATTTTGTCTTGAAATTTTAATTGAATTTTAATCCAAACCAAACAAGGCTATGTATTGAGGATTTAATAAGCTTTAAAGATAAGGTGTCAAACAATTTTTATTCACACATTTTATGATAGTAAATTTACATAAAACACATTTTAGCTCTTGTTGACATCGAAAATTGTATAAATAATATTCAAGTCAACTTAATAGGGAAATGAAAACTCTTTAAGGACAGCTATCCGTGAATTACAAGTATGGTCACAAACATGTTGCTCTTGTCTTTTTGAAGGAGATATTTGAAATATAATATGTAAGAATATTTGTAAGTGAAAGCCCCTCTCCTCTCTTTTCCTTGTTCCTTTCTCCCTTTTATAGGGAAAAATCTGCATGTATACTACTTCATTCATCTTGTCAGCTATAGTACCGAACTGAGGAGGTACATCAATGGCACGTTTGAATTGGATAAGGAGGTAGGCTTGTCAGGTCATCATAAATTTGGCCTTTCTGGTGGGTCTCAACAATTAATCAATGGCACGTTTGAATTGGTTAGGGAGGTCGGCTTGTCAGGTCATCATAAATTTAGCCTTACTGGTGGGTCCCAACAATTAATAAATTACTTAGGGAATGAAGTTAAAGCATATGATTGGTAGGTGTAGTGGGCGTTGATGTAAGATCATCCATATATTGCTCACTGATTGACTGTTTGTACAATTTGCCAGAAATTGATAATCTTCACGTCCCTTCAAACCTCATTAAATATCTTAATCCGAGCTAACCTCAAATATACTGATCTGACAACAGTATCGGCTCATCAACTATAAGAAACTATAGTTATTGGTCTCGGAGTTCGGATGCCAACAACTCTCATTCTTATTTAATCATGAATTTGTATATTGGAAAATATTTTTGCTCTATAAATAATGCACTTGTCATATTTTAATTCTTAAATACTGATATGGTTCAAACCAATCCAAAATGAGCCCAAACTGCAGGCCCAATTCATTTGACATAGTGGGCACAAAATCCTATCCCTCTTCAAAACCAACTTTCAAAATTAAATTTTCGATCTCAACCTATTTAATTATATGATTCTGCATTGAGTGGTAAAACTTAAAATTTCACGTAAGTTAAAGTTGGACATTAAGTAGTTTAACTACTCTAGCTAGCACACTTGCAACTAGAAAAAATTGTGCAAGCCCACAACAAGACAAAGTCGATCCAAAGCTAGAAAAGACCACGCGAGGACAAGCTCTAACAAGTAATGCTCGATAAGGAAACAAAAAACCTACTATGACAATAACTAACTTCTATCATATTCATAGTAGGATTATCCTACATTACGATCTAGTTGCGAGGTTTAAGTCAGACTTTTATTGTAATTTTCATTAGGTACACTAATCAATGGCACGTTTGAATTGGTTAAGGAGGTCGGCTTGTCAGGTCATCATAAATTTGGCCTTACTGGTGGGTCTCAACAATTAATAAATTACTTAGAGAATGAAGCTAAAGCATATGATTGGTAGGTGTAGTGGGCGTTGATGTAAGATCACCCATATGTTGCTCACTGATTGACTGTTTGTACAATTTGCCAGAAATCGATAATCTTCATGTCCCTTCAAACCTCAGTAAATATCTTAATTCGAGCTGACCTCAAATATATCGATCTGACAACAATATCGGCTCATCAACTATAAGAAACTGTAGTTATTGGTCTCGGAGTTCGGATGCCAACAACTCTCATTCTTATTTAATCATGAATTTGTATATTGGGAAATATTTTTGCTCTATAAATAATGCACTTGTCATATTTTAATTCTTAAATACTGATATGGTTCAAACCAATCCAAAATGAGCCCAAACTGCAGGCCCAATCCATTTGACATAGTGGGCACAAAATCCTATCCATCTTCAAAACCAACTTTCAAAATTAAATTTTCGATCTCAATCTATTTAATTATATGATTCTGCATTGAGTGGTAAAACTTAAAATTTCACGTAAGTTAAAGTTGGACATTGAGTAGTTTGATTACTCTAGCTAGCACACTAGCAACTAGAAAAAATTGTGCAAGCCACAACAAGACAAAGTCAATCCAAAACTAGAAAAGACAATTCGAGGACAAGCTCCAACAAGTAATGTTCGATAAGGAAACAAAAAACCTACTATGATAATAACTAACTTCTATCATATTCATAGTAGGATTATCCTACATTACGATCTAGTTGCGAGGTGTAAGTCAGACTTTTATTGTAATTTTCATTAGGTACACTGGATGATAGCATAAAAAAGAAAAAAAACAAACAATATTTATTAGACGGTCCAATCCCATTAAAAAATGCATACCAAACTACTCTTCGGGCTCCATTAAAATTTTAATGTATTTTTATCTTTCTTTTTTTTAAAATAAAATAAAATGTAATCATTTTTTTAAAGTCTATCTAAAACTTAAAATAATATTCAGTCGACATCCAAACGACTTAATAGAAGAAAATTTAAGGGGTTGTTTGACCAAACTTCTATAATAGTTACACAGATATTAATAAAAGTTAATGTAATGTGCGATTGAAAATTTTATAAAAATTGTAGGTTCCATAAAATATTGTAGATTTCATAAAATAAATGATAAAAACATTAAGTTTGTAATTATAGATAAAGTTTGACTCATAAAATTTTAATAAAAAAATCACTAAACAAATCGAAGAGACAAAATAAATGTGACATGACAACTAAACCATATACACATTTCAATCTCATAATAATTATATCGAAAGACTATTCAAGAATATGCGAATCATCATCTTCTAAATTAATTTAATTTGGATTTATTATTTAATTTTATTATGCCATTCAACCACAATCGCAAGGAAAAGAAAAAGAAAAAGAAAAATCAACTATAACATATTTACCACAGTATAAAAAAAATAATTATTTCATTTTTTGAGTCAATTTGATTGCAAGAGTGGAATTTGGGTATAAAGAAAATGAATTCTGGGTAATTGAATTGCATAGAATTTTCAATTAATTGTATTTGATTAGTATAATTTTTCAAGTGGAAAATATTGAAATTTTAGATCTTTGAGTGTTCGTTTGACTGTACTTTACATGTAAATTGTCCATTAAAGGGATAAAATTTGTTTCCATTATCACAAAATTAAAAAAAAAATATGGAAAACCTTTTTTAGAAAATAGAAAATGATTTCTTAATTCCATCGAAAATCGAGGATACCAAACATGGCCTTACAGAGTTTATTATTCACATCAGTAATTTACTGCTTTACGTTTCACTTCTATGAGATGGACTTCTCCAAAAACCAGCACCATAAAATTTTTCCCACATTTCCTTCTCTAATTCAGCAACATCATTGTCCGATTCCAGTGAATTCACCGTCGCCATCGGGCCCGACATGGTGAGAATTTGGAGCTCCTTATCATCGCAACCACGCTTTCGCGGCGGTAACAGTCCATTCTCGATCATCCTACGGCGGTGCTTCCGCCGAAAAGCCTTGCGGCATAGACCTGCTGGAATTTTGTACACGGCAAGCACCAGGAGATTCGCCAGCCCACATGGACAGCAACAGCATACGGCTGCACATTCCGCCACCGTCCCTCCTGCAACCTCCGCCAACCTGACTCTCCGGCGCCCACCTCTGGAGGAGTAATCTTGACTTTCTTGAAGCAGCTGCCGGCGATCCACAGATGGCATCGCCTGGCGGAGAAAAACTTGCCTCCTCATATCACAGAATTTTCTTCAGCTAATGAATTTAATTCTTCCGAATCACACAAGATGACGATCAAGAACATAGAACCCGAAAGCTAAGACTTCTGAGTTCTGTCAAAGAATTATCGAAGAGAAGGCGCAAACCGAATGTTGCGCAATGGCTTGTGAGTTGTGTGTGGTGCCGGAGTAGACTTTTAAACGGCTATCTGTTTGGGAGGGAGGAGTCTAAAAATTAAAATTCTTGATAAATCAAACAGCCCTCCGAAATGTTAACAACGACGATAATATATTTAGTCCGTTATTGACGGATTCTCTCTTTTCTTTGTATTAATATAGATTACCAAGAAAAGGGTTGCATTGAAACGAGAGAGACAGTTTTATTGCAGTATTTGACGGTGAATCGGTGATGGTGATGCCAATGGGGTATTCATTTATTTAAGGTGGGGAAGACAAACGCGAGGGCAAGGCAGGCAGTTTCAAGGGATTTCTAGAGGTAGACAATACAAGGTTCAGGTGGATAAATCCCCACGTACAGGAATTCAGTGTGCGTGGGGACCCACCAAAAATTTAAAATGAAAAAAAAATAAGAATAATACTCCGTGTACAATCTATGATTGACAAGGAATTTGACAATCCATGTTCATTCAAACTTGCATAGGCGGCAAAGTGTGTGGTGTTTCAAAAATGGTCATTCAACCTTCAAAATGTGGCAAAGACATGATCAATAGACACAAGTCATTGAAAATTTTACAATCATGCTACAAGTACAATTTTTTTGACATAAAGTTTGACAATGTGCCACATGTTGAAGGTTGAGTTGCTAATTTTTAAACACCACACACTTTCCTGCCAATTTTTAGTCACTTTTGAGTATCTATGCATGCATGATATGTAGTATATAAAAAGATTTACAAATTATGACCAAAGAAAGAACACCACTTTTTATATACTCATATTTAAAGCTTTTTTTTTTATTTACATACTTCACGAGATTCATAACTTTTATCATATTTTTTTTTATCAAAATCTAATATGTTACCTAAACAAACAGGTGCTTAGTCTACTGCATTTTTCTAATATAAAAATAATGTTATCAAATACCTGTTCTGTAGAATATATGAGTTTTAAGCATCAGCATATCATAAGTCATAAATGAGTCATAAATTCTTGTATTTAAATGAACATAGAGTTTATTGATACAAGTATTGCCACCTAAATCGTTGTTAAATACTAGTGATACTTGATACAATCACTTTTTTTAATCATCGTCACTTTTTTTAATCATCGAAAGATAAAAAAAAATTAGTTGAATGCAGCCTCCAACATATTGACTTTGTTGTAACGTTACAAAAGACTGTTTTTGTTGTAGTAATTGTGATTTATTTTTAATGGGGTCATAAATGTTTTAATTTTGTAGCGTTGTTAGTCTCTAATGGATTATTTCCGTCCAATTAATTGTTGATAACACATTTTTGAAAAGTAGAAGGTATACACTTAATTTAATGGAAAAATGTTGAAATAAAAAGAGAAAGGAAAATGAAAAGATAAAATATAAAAATTGAAAGAAAAAGATACCAAATTCCAACACCGACCCCAACGCCAAAACCCAATCCCCACCCTAAACCTAAAACTCCACCAACTTGCTAAGATGGCATTATCATCTGGTGAAATTAAAATCAGATTTTTAGTAAATTTTTATAAAAGTTGATGAAATATATGTTTGAAATGTTGTGGGACCCATGAAATATGTGATTAAATTTGATTATTGACTTAACTTATATTAAAATCTGAATTTTAATCGATACCAAACAAAAATTGAATAAGACGACAATAATCAATGTATAAAGATTTAAATTATTATTCTCGATAAAATTGACATTTTAATATGATCCTCAACACTCAACATTATTACGTGCCCCATCATGTTCCCCCTCTCCAAACATATCAAATCAAGGATAGATCTGAATAAATAAAATAGCTAGACATCATTTTTTTTTTTAATAATTGAGATGTATTTTATTTTTACCCGGAAATAATTTTTAGGAATTGAAAAGATTTTTTAGTTTATTTTTGCACGGTAGCTAGACTGCACAATGTTAAAGAAAAAAACCTAAATTATTGAATTGCAACGTTTAATTGCTCGATGGTTGGTTGGATACTTGTGATTGGATAATCCTTCCTCAATTTGTGAGGAATGCTGCATTTTAAATGATGAAAATTTAGTAACTAAACCATCACAATTAAGCTCTCGCTTGTTTCTCATTCTTTCTCCATTTTTAGAAAAAATACTACTGCTGCAGGACCCCACTCTGTCGTAATTGTTAACTTCCATCTCATATTATTATTGAAGTTGGTGCTCTAAAGGTCACAAAATTCATTTTCTACAGCTAAAAAATCGGCAGCAAACAGAGGCTAAATAGAAAATTCCGAATATTTGACGATGTCGAATGTGCAATAAATTATCTTATGCTCAATTTCATTGGTGATGTTATTTTTCTCAACCAGGAGGTGAAAAGAGTTGAGAACAAATTGACGAGTGTAACGCAAAAAAATAAAAAATAAAAATTGATTAGCACTCATGAAATGGTACTATGGACATAAAAAGCAATCGAAGAAGTAACCAAAAATATTGGACATAAAAATTAGATAAGTTACAAAACCAGTAAACAGATTACACACCAAAGCATACTATCTGAAATAAATAAAGAAGAAGATCTGAAATCAGTACGCACACTAATAGAAACTCGCAGGCCGGCCAATTTCAGCCATCGCCGTCGCTGAACCACCAAAATACAGGCTGCAGAATGAGATACAAGCAGAGGAAACAGGCGCCGGAAAAAAGTCAGAAAAGCCAGTCCATAAACCATTCTGAGAGCCATTCACTCACTGTTAACACAAATTATGACCAAAGAAAGAACACAACTTGACAGAGATGCAAATGGATAACCATTTTTTAATTAGTTGGCATTATGAGTTTATTTGTACGTGTCCAATCTAAGATTACATTGGCTTTCAAAGTGCCACGTGATTATTAATTTCTCCTTTTCCCTTTGTTGTCTGAAAGAAATACAGAAGTTTGAGGGAGTTGCAAGATTGCAGATTGGAATTACTTCATGTAGGATGTATTATCATCTGTGTTTATATCTAACTATTTTTATTTTATTTTTTTTAAAATGTTCTACTACTATAGCGTGCTATTTATTTATAAGAAAATGAAAAACATGATCCCAAACATTTGGGATTGTCGACTATTTGAACTTCAACATGTAGGTTTAAAACATCTAAAATAGACGTTAAATTTGGCGCTTGATTGACTCAAATTTTTAGCAAAAATTGAATTTGATGCCAAAGTCTAGGTCGAGTAAGAAATAATTTATATTGTGTTGGCAGATCAACGATGCTAATGTTGACTTCAAGCCTATCATCTCAGCAATCGATTGTTGTTGCAATAATTGATATGTCCCTTCATTATGATCACACGATGAAATAAATCGGACAAGGTTTGGAAAAATACAATAAAGGGCAAAATGGTCATTTTGAACGACACTTTTTAAACTATCATATTAATATTTATGAAACCAAAGCTCGTCGAAAGGCTTTTAAGATGGCAACGGTGATACAGTGTTACCTGAGTGACTGAGTTTGATCATCCCTTCACTGAAACTGAATCAGACAAGAATGTTAAAACTGAATTTGAAAAAGACCAAGAAAATGAAATTTGAGTAATCAGGAATCAAAAGAACACATATAAATGAGAATCTCCATCTTCATGTAGGTACAACACCACAGACTTGCATTTATTCTCATACAACTCGTTAAATTCTGAGAATTCCTATGTCAATCCGATATTACCGACTTTCAGTAGACGAGGAGCCAACGAGTTTAGTCGAACCTAACGAACCCGTGAATTTAGAATAACCAGGTTGTCTGATTGTTATGGTCTGTTCCATCCAACCATGTCTGGTGCACATGCATCCAGGTGAGCCCTTCTTCAACACTTGCATCCTAGATGCAAATTGTAAACAATACATTAATACACTCAAAGGAGCAAATGTTGGCACTATGAATGCAAATCTTACCTTAGAACTTAATACAACTGTTGTCAGACAACATTGTTGTTTGTCGCCTGCATGAGGAGACAAGCAGTAAGCCAAAACCAGAAAGACATGGCATACACATATTTTATCAGACATTATTTATTTCTGTGAGGGAATTTGAGGTATATGAAATATTTTCGCGATTTTTTTAAATTTTTTTTTGAACTGTACATTTTAGCACGACTTCTTAATTCATGGCTCGGCATTATTACACTATATCAAATTCTCAACTAATAATTAGATAAAGGAAGTATTTGACAAGATATTTTGATAAATCATTTTCAGAGGGCCAACTATGCTACAAGAAAGCTTTTTCCATGTTCAATGTGTATGGTGCAGCGAAGTTATCGTGTCTTGTGCAATAAAACCTCGACACAACTGTCCTTTTTTAATGGATTGAAGGTCCACCTTCAGAGTTCAGAAAGCAGATAATCGATACAAGCAATAAATCAATTTAAATCGGATCCTTTGATCCCATTAAGCATCATATTGCTCCACTTTTGAAAGATTATTCACTTTTCATTCCTGTTCACGAAAGACGATGAAAATAAAATTATTGTTTATCATAATGGTGCAGAAGGACCCGATTAAAATACAGAGGAAAAGTCTTCAATGACGTAGAAGATTTAATGCAAGTATGAAAAAAGTGCTTTGGTTTTTCAGCAGACATGAATTTGAAAATTAAAATAGGAAGAAGTCTAACCAGATTGCTCCCACTTCTTGAACTTCACTAGCCACGAATGAGAATCAATCTGTGCTGGTAAAACCTGATCGACCCAAACCCAAAATTGTTTCCCCTGTTTGTCTCCGTAACATGTTCGCAATGAGTTCACACAGTCACAAAGAGGTTGCTCTATGCCAGATGGGTGAACAAAAACACCCGACGCACACTGCAAGAGGTAAATAGTGAGTAAAGCCTAACCACTATGCTATATTACAAATTTTGAAGAAATTAAAACAAATGGCAGTTCAACTTGAGGATTAAATGGAAATACTAGAAAAATATATAGAAAAATTATTATGATTCCAAATAGTAACTACTTCCCATAGTCAAATTTGCAAGGGGCTTTATATCAAACAAATAAAATGAAAATTGTAAGGGTATCGTAAAGTTGGATTAATTGCAAATTATAATACCTTAGACAACAAATGTTGAAGGGATTTTCTTTTTCTTCTGAAATTTTTAGTGAGCCAAGAAAGTTTCTTGAATTCAAATTGAGTTCGAACAAACTGCATAAAATGCTTATGCATGCACATGATCTCATAACAAGGAAAAGGTGCTAAATCAAACTATTTTGCAGGATACCGTCAAATAAATCTACTAGATATGGACTTGTTCAACGGAAGGCAGCAATAGAATAGAAATTGTTCTCACATATTAAACCATGTCATGATCTGCATTCTTTTGTTCTCATCAAGCTCGTATCTATAACAAATAGGTGGTAAATCACACCCAAAACTTTTAATCTTTAATAAGCTCGTTCAATATTTATCTATTTACTCTAGTCAAGAGAAAGCATCAACTTCATCCTGGTTAAAGCTAGCACTATCAAATTAATAACAATGCTGAATAAGTAATAAACTACCAACAGCAAATATTGTCACCTTTAAACTGTATAAACAATATCTCCTATAAATACATGCAATAGAGATCAAATACCTCACGTTTCAGACACGTACTATTAACTCAGTTTTAAATTCGGTTTTAAATATTAACTCGAGGAGATTATAGACTAATGCTAAATAGAAATGTAAAATGCTTGAAATTGGAGATAGAAAAAGTAATCAATCATACACAAACCGCCTTAAGATTTGCCATATAAAGCTCAGAATTTTCAACTTCTGCACGCCTCCATCTCTCATAAAACAAGTAAAATCTCACTACTTCATAAGAAGGATCAAATTTCTCCATCTTAGAGTCCATCAGGTCCGTGACATCTCTAGGAGATGTACTGGGACCTAGGTGGAAGTGGCCAATGGCTTGTATAATACCCGCTGCACATCTCTCTGTCGCATGAATTATTTTAGGATTATCTTTAGCATTTGCAGCATGCCAGTGCAACAATTCTTCCTGGGCATTACTAACCTGCAAAGGTGGACAAATTTGTAGACAACATTCATAAATACAAAATTAAAATCTGTTGCAAGAAGTCAAAAAGTTGAGAAAAAAACTTTGGTAAAACACTAACCATCACACCATATACATCTGGAATGCTAAATAGTTCAGCGTCGTTTCCAGAATCTCCACAAGCAAGTGTATTATTTGGTAATTTATCCGTGGCTTTTAATTTCTTAAGCAAATAAGCGAGTGCCTGCCCTTTACCAGCACCTTGAGGCAATATATCCAGGTCCATCCCTCCACTGTAAATTATCTTGACGTCCAACTGAGCAATCGCAGAGCAAAAGGTATGAACAAGAAGTTGAAAAAGAAGACAAGGAAATTGAAGGCTTTGAAGCACGAAAGTTTCATTATACCCCACGCGCTTCCAAGCATGCAGATAGAGCTTTCATCACATCCTGGGCCTTGTCTTTCTGAACATAAAAGCTTACTTTATGGGGACGTTGCTCTGTCTCCGACTGCATGCACCCAAAAATTTATTACAACACAAAAGGTCCTCGTGCAAAAGTAATCACCATTTGATTCATACAAAAATACTGTTATGACCATCTTAAATTTAACACATCTGGCGGTAGTCAGACGTATAATTGGTATCAAAAGGCGGATGTTAGTTTTTATAACTATACCTGAAGAGTAAGCTCAGGAAACTTGCTTGTCTCCTCTGATACTATATTTTTGTCCCATTTCTGATTTAAAAATTCAACCCAACCATCATCTGGCACCATAGAGTTTCCGTATGTTATTTCTGTTCCCACAGACGTTATAGTGATATCTGGAGTCAGCATGGGCTTCTCTTTTCTCAATTGCTTGTACAACGTAGGTGACCTCCCAGTCGAGAACACTAACAAGGAATTATGACGATAATTGGATTCCCACAAGGCATTAAACCTAAGAAGAGAGAGATTCTCGGAATCGTGATGGTCAACCTGCAACATACAGTTCTCACATTAGTCCCTAATCATTTCAATGAATCAAACAATAAATAACACTCACCATTGTATGGTCAAGATCCGAGACTATCATGAGGCGCGCCGCACCAGAGAGCTGATTCATGGTTATCTTTATGCTAGCTTCACTCTGCAATTAAAGAAGTGACCATGTTATTGAGAAATCCAACAACCTTCTTATGTCTTCGTCGACCTCATACTACAAAAAATAAGAACGGGACTTCTGCGACAAGAGATTGTAATTTAAGAGAAAAAATGACTAGTTTAATGATGGCTTTACATTCTTGTAAAAATACTAATAGAATGACAGCTTGGTACGAAGTGTGCCTTTTAAGTTACACAAGTAAGATGAATGACGATTTGGAGTATATAAACTACAGCATGCCTTTTCTATTCCCACAATAAAATCAGATATTTGTATATCTTATATGGCTACAGAGTTAAAATCAGAAGTTAGCACAGAAGATTAAATCTAATAATCTAAGAAGATATAATTTGCATGTGAAATAGGCTCCACACAGACAATTATCCAAACTCTTAAAATTGTGAGCTCAGCAGTCACAAATATAAGATTATGTGAACAATGAACTACAAAACATTAATGCCCTAAAAGTTTAAAACCTTTTTTTCTTATAATTGGGCTTTAAGGAAGATTTGACTAATAATGGACAGTCATGCTAAATGTAGCTTCTAACGGACATGTCCATCACTTAGTCAATCTTGGGATCTGCTAATTCTACTTATAATCATTTGGCATAGATAAAATTTTACGATGAAGCTACATAGCTTCGTGATCTCAATATAAATCTGTATCACATAGATCAATGACATTTTAAAAGAATCCACTACTTATCCGATCCCCAAAAACATTTTGCCCAAGTGTTCCATTTGTATTGACTCTGCTACACGAAAAGGGAACTTTTACTTATCGTGAACATGGAATATCTCTGTCTCAATATAGTCAATCCTTATACAAGATAGACACAGAATCACTCAATATTCTATATTAGATGCAAATTTCTTTTAAAAAAATCGTAATTTATTTAACAGTAAGCAGTGTTGTTTTCATTCTTAATCATAAATGACCTTCCAAATTAAAATATCATCCTATTTTACAGAATTTCAGGCCATGAAAATGAGGTTAGAAAAGATCCCATTAATATTTCAAGATTTTTTTATTACAATTCCCAATCTAAAGATCTAGATTCATTCCACCAATGATAAAGCATTTTAAACATGTCCTGCATTTTTTTTTTATTTTTTAAATCGAGAAACATATATCCAAACACGTTGATTCATGGTGAAGGCAAAAATAAACAGAAAACAAAATAATTATATTCTCTTGAAACCAGATAATTGCCCACGAAAGATTAAATTTTGGCACTATAATACGAGCGATATAAATAATATATCAAATGATAAATAGAAAAAAAATACGTCCAATTCTAGACTTCCCATAAACAAAATTCCATTTAAACAAAATAAAAATAAAAAATTCGAAAAAGAAGCTCTTACAAACTGAAGAATTGATTCCACAAGCACAAGTTATTCCAGCAAAGAACATATATATGTATAAATATATAGAGAGAATGAGAGAGTGTGTACCGCAAAAACAGTAGAGAGAAAATGGGGTGGTGGTGTTGATTGTGGATGGAATGGTGATGAGGGGAGATGAAGAAATACTAGGAAAAGTAGTACCTAATTGGAGTAAAATGACAAAATGATGGTGGCACTCAACTGTTATTTTGAAATGGGGGAAATAGCATAGGAGGTCTATAACTTTTCACGTCAGATATAATTTGACTTCCCCACTTACCAAATCGATAGGATGGACGTCGAGTGGATTGGTCCGAGTTTTTCATGAACCATTAAATTTTGAGTATTTTATAAATGGAACTATTCGATTTCATGTAAATTTTTAAAATCGAATCAAAATCAACAATTTCAATTAAAATATTTACCCTTGGATAACCGTCTCGCCAATTTTGTGTATAAATATTATTTTATATAGTGATAATAATATAGGAGGGCGAGATCGGGACGACTCTTTCCTTACCTCTCCACTAGATAGTTTTGGAAAAGTAGAACGAGGTCGAGAAATATTCCTATTTTTTCATCTCGTTCCTCATCATTTGGTTTGGAACAAGGAAGGCGATGAATAGTAGCCAACCAATGAATGAAGATAGAGTTAGACACATAGTTACCTTAAAAAGGTGAAGCATATTCGATGGGTAACCTAATTGTGCCACCTAAATTGATCGTTGAACATACACACAAAGTACCAACTTTTTTATATTTTAGAAATTAGATTAGGTTCTCTTGCCCGAACAATCATCGAACACTTTCGGTGAAAATTGGACATTTTAAGATTTGTATTTTCGATGCAATTATATCAATAGTAGTACCACGAGTTAATGTTAGCATTTATATTTATTTGGTCACCAAAATATAATTCGCTTAGCTCATAAACATCGTGAAAAATGTACTCGATTGTTTGAAAGTTGAAATTATTACTTCATTACTAAAATTCAAGGTGATGCAAAATCCTTGATTTCGTGCAATTCTAAAATGCTAATGCCCACTACGGCCAACATCTACCCTTGCTCAAACACGTACATCCAATTTAAGATGGGCTCCGAATTTGGTTCTAACGAAAAGAGATTGTCTCCCAAATTCGAAATAGTTTGAAAGAGTAATGTAGAAAGGACACAAACTCACAACAATTTCGAGTGTATTGGATCTTATTCAAGTCATCTATGCTCCTTATAAAATATATAATCACACTGAATAATGTGCACATAACTAACTAAAAAAGGGGATAACTTCAATTAAAACCTTACCAATTTAAGGTGAAAATTCCTGCAAAATGCATCCCTACAGCTATGCCAATGGTTGGCTTAAAAATTTTAATCACTGCATGGTTTTATAGGAAAATCGTACGTTGAATTTGTTACATAGGAAAAACAATAGTTTAAAGGTGTGGTTGATCCCATTTTTTTTTTTAGAAAAATAGATTTGTAATAGTAATTTTTAAGTATATGGTTGAAAAGTAGAAAAAAGTTGGATTTACGTGTAAATTCATTTTATTGAAAAAATATGTGGCTAAAAATGAGTTTGAAAAAAATAATAATAGTAAGTTTTTGATAGAACGAAGCTCAAACAATGGCCAAAGCTGCTTGTTTATTTATAATTTTTTGTTCTGTAAATTTTTGCACCGATCATGACAAGTGACATTATTATGACATGTTCACATTTTCTCAACATATTTATGTTAGGGAAAATTCTATTTGTACAACCTCTCACATGTGTGCGGGGTTCGTATGTTTAAAAAATTCATAAAAATAAAAATGGACTCCTCAATGCGAGTGGTTGTCAATCTCGATTGTACAACTAGCATGACTCATCTGTTAGTTATAATGTGATGATAACATGAAGTCATATATGGTCGAAAATGGATGAAAATCATGGAGAAATAACTTGTACAAGTTGGAGGAAAAATGTGAAACAAACAAGAATGTAGAGTCAAGAGTGAGACCGTCGAGGTCTATAAAGGAATTAGGAGTACACCTTTATCGAGCAATAGTTCAAGTTAAATTTTAAAACTTATTCTTTTTACTCAATCATAATATTCAATTTTATTCTACTCCTCGAAAAGACCCAGAGACAATCGGCTGGGACTTACGTGAAAGGAGTAGGGTAGGTCCTGAAACGTGACATTGAAAAAGAAGTTTGAGCAATTATAATTTATTTATAATATATTGAAATATGGGCTTATATATATATTTTTATCAATGTTCGAGTCCTAAGTAAATTATTATTCCCAATTACTTAATTCTCCAGTCAATTATAATATTAATCTTATATTTTCCACTCTCTCTCAAACCGGCCTATATACTCAAATGATTTATAAAAATTATCCAAATTTTCTGAATAATTTTTGTCTCATCTCGATAGGTATCGTGGACTCCAATGATGCTCTCTTTTTCTCTCCCAATAATCCAAAGCTCAAAATACCAAATACCTACAAAAGTTGATCCTCTCTCCCACCCACACCCAGTGCCCCATCCTCTTCCCAACACATCTACTCTGGTGGTTGCTCTTGAATCCAACATCTACTTTTCTCTAGCTCTTTACCCTCCAAAGCAGCTGTGTTTCAATAGGTTCAGCACACCAGAATTTGGGTTCTTGAACGCTCGCTTTCTTCATTCTCAGAAGTCTTATCAATTGTTTCGAGAAACCAGAATTGGGTTCTTGAATACTCACTTTCTATACTCTCTAAAGCAGCAGTCTTTCAATAGTTCAAGATACCAGAATTGATTTTCTTGAATGCGCACTTTCTCGGTATTCCAAAAACTTACTTTTTAACCACCGAGTATACCTGTTACTGATAATTGCAAAATGGGTGCTCTGAATTTTGGGTTTTGTAGTTCTCAGTTATTCAGTAACTTCAAAATTGACCCTGCGAGCAATGAAAAACTCAGGTGCAGAAAAGAGGGAATTTTCTGTTTTGATCCTTTAAAAACACAAAAGTTTAGTAATCACCAGTTTGAAGGCTTGGACTATGGTTTCTACAGGGCTAAACAAAGAAAAAGAGACATTTTTAGGTTAAAATCAGTTGTGGATGTAGATAAAGTAATGGAGAGTGATAATAGCTTTATAGGAGCCGACAGTAATTCTAATCACTATGATACCATTGTCATTGGTTCGGGGATGGGAGGGCTGGTGGCAGCGACGCAGCTGGCAGTTAAGGGAGCTAAGGTTTTAGTTCTGGAGAAGTATGTGATTCCTGGAGGGAGTTCAGGGTTTTACGAGAGGGACGGATTCAAATTTGATGTTGGTTCATCTGTTATGTTCGGTTTCAGCGATAAGGTTAGTTGTTTAATGGTTATATATAGCTTATATACACGTCTCTTTATAGTGTATAAGTACTTGTTGAAGACTAAATTAAATAAATGTATTCTTTCTCTTAAAACTTGAAGGTTTGAATGAGGTAGTGTAATGCAGTATCAAAGCACTCAACTGTATCGATTCATTTGTGACAATTGTGAACATTTGCGCTTTTGATGGAAAATGAAATTGCCCTACTTGTGAGGGGGGTGTTGAGGGCAGTTTTAAATAAATAAATGTATGTCCTCTCTTATAGCTTAAGCTTTTAGATGATGTGGTTGAAGAGTAGTAGAGGAATGAAATGCAGTTTTTACCCGGATCAAATTAGTTGTATTCCAAGCAGAAACTAGTGTAAATGGGAACATTGTTTTATCTATTAGAAATTTAGAACAATACATGCCACTGAAAGAAAAAAACTGTGTGTTCTCTGGGTATTCTCTTTAAATCATTATTAGAGACTCTTATTGGTTGTGGAAACTAAAGAATGCAAATAGTAGCTTTAGTATTCTATGCTTCGGTTGGTGGTTGCTCTTGCATAATTCTTCAAGATACTTTTACTTTCGTGCTTTTAGAGATGAATGCGACGTTGAATATGTTGGAAGGCTTCTGAATAAATAATAAATATCTAAAGAAAAATGTGAAAATGTTGGGAGTATTTGTGTGTTCTGCCACACTTTGAAGACTTATCTGTGCATTGTATTACTCTGGCATGAAGCATTCTCACGAAGGAAATAATTAGCATATCTGGTTTTTTGTTCAATACAAAACCATAAACAGCAGTGTCTTTATCTTTCCTTCGAGATGTTTTGTTTACATATTCTTTCTGTTTTGTTTACAATGCTTCATCCGGGATGTTTGTTTATTATTCTTGGATTGTTTTTCTCTCAATCTTTAGATCTGAATCTATTATAAATATCTCAGGGAAATCTAAATTTGATTACACAAGCATTGGCAGCGGTTGGATGTAGGATGCAAGTTATACCTGATCCAACAACGGTTCATTACCATCTACCAAATGGCCTCTCGGTCCTAGTCCATAGAGAATATAGTGATTTTGTTGATGAACTTGTCAGCAGATTTCCCCATGAAAAAAATGGGATTCTCGGATTCTATGGAGTATGCTGGAAGGTTTGTTTTTATTGAGGTGATTGAAGCTTCCTCTCGAATCTTTACCTCGATTGAACCGAACTCATCGATAACTTGAACATGTCTAGGGTAGATCTTCAATGCATTGAACTCACTGGAACTGAAATCCCTGGAGGAGCCAATCTACCTTTTTGGGCAGTTTTTTAAGAAGCCCCTGGAATGCTTGACCCTTGGTAATTAATAGCCACCTGTGTTCTTTTATATTTCTACTGCAAAGATCATAATGTGAAGCATCATATAATGATAGTGATGACTTTCTTTTCTTTTACTTTGTTTATCCGGTTCGATGTTTCTCCAAAATGTTCATCAAAAAGTCCACCGAGTGTCAATTTCTGTTTTTCTTTTTTCCATTTGTCTTTTTCTTTACAAATTTCCAGTTAGTTTATCTTTTTCCCCTGATAACAAGGTCTTGCGCATTCATGAAGGCGAGTCCATATAACTTGATATGTTATATGTAAAGCAGCTAAACAAGCTTGGAATAAAAGAAAACATGTATTAAGTAAAATCACTATAGTGGTTCAAAAGATTAATCAATTGACGGGATTTAATCACCTGACTTCAAGCCTATCTTATTTGGATCTTCATTTTTATGCTAATTGGAGTCCAATCCCAGGACTCCTTCGGAGAGATTTTTCTTGTGTAGATGGAGATACTAACTAGTTTTTGTACATAGGTGCACCCCTCAATTGCAAGTAACCATTTATTGTTAAAGGGTATTTAAGTCTTTTATGTAACCAAGCTACAAAGAGGTTTTACAAGTTCAAAAAGTCCACCGAGTGTCAATTTCTGTTTTTCTTTTTTCCATTTGTCTCTTTCTTTACAAATTTCCAGTTAGTTTATCTTTTTCCCCTGATAACAAGGTCTTGAGCATTCATGAAGGTGAGTCCATATAACTTGATATGTTATATGTAAAGCAGCTAAACAAGCTTGGAATAAATAAGTAAAATCACTATAGTGGTTCAAAAGATTAATCAATTGATGGGATTTAATCACCTGACTTCAAGCCTATCTTATTTAGATCTTCATTTTTATGCTAATTGGAGTCCAATCCCAGGACTCCTTCGGAGAGATTTTTCTTGTGTAGATGGAGATACTAACTGGTTTTTGTACATAGGTGCACCCCTCAATTGCAAGTAACTACTTATTGTTAAAGGGTATTTAAGTCTTTTATGTAATACCTAGGGTTTCCTAAGTTTTTATTATAAATAGTGTGAGAGGCTAACACAATAGTTAAACCTTCTTATTCTTTTACTTCAACATGGTATCAGAG